CCTCCTCAGTGCTGAACTCCTCCTCCAGTCTGGCGCTCACTCTGCGGAAATACCCCACACTCATGGCGTCCAGTCGTTTCCATCTTCGCTCCGGCTTCCCTCCGTCTCCCCCTCTGCCCTCCGGCCTCATCTTCCCCTTCCCTCCTTTCCTGTCCTTCCTCCTCTGGCTCTGTCCCTCCTTCTCCGCCGCTGCACCCCTGGCCGGCTCCATGTCTCTCCACGCGCCTGATCAATCACCTGATCAATCCCCGCCGGACTGGCCCCCAGCCTTCCTGCCTCCCGAGTCTTCAGGACCTCTTCCTGCTGGAGAACCACCAAGAGGAACTGGTCACCCACTGGGCTGGGTTTCTGAGCTGGTATGGAGTGTGCGAGTTCCCCTGCGGTCATTACTGTATTATAATCCCCTGTCTGCTGGTCAGCGTTCACCCTCTCTTTAAACATCACAGTCTGCCCTAAAGACCCTGTCACTCCAGCCGTCAGAGACCACAGCAGCTTGCCTCTTTATTATTATAAGAATCACTTCTTACTCTTCTATAGTGCTTTTCTGGACACTCCCCTCAAAGCTCTTTGCAGGTCATGGGGATCCCCTCTTCCACCACCAGTGCGATGATGCACCAGTCTGCTCACACACACCAGCTTTCAGTGGGGAGGAGAGCAGAGTGATGAAGCCAGTTCAGAGAGGGGGGTTATCAGGAGGCCATGACTGGTAAAGGCCGGGGGGAAATTTGGGCAGCGTGCTGGGGTAACACCCCTACTCTCTTCGAGAAACACCCTGGGGTTTTTAATTTTGGACATATATACACGTGAGTACACCTTCTCATATATACTCCTGATTATATCTGTATTAACTCTTTTTAGTTTTTGTTCTGCATTTCCACTTACAGTAGTGTACAATTTCATAAAGATGATCAATCATCATACTTCGGTTATTCTTGAGTTCCGATGTGCAGTTTTACTTCACGACTGAACTCCGATGACATGTTTTCACACGACACATTACGACCAAGGCAAGACTGGGTCTCGCTGTGTTTTTCACTTGACAAGATACTTTTTACGGGTGAAGAGGTTTTATTAAGTAGCAAACATCAACATTTTATCCTGATTTGCTAACGGGAAACGGTAGGAAAAACTCTTTGGGCGAGACAGTGTTGGTCATGTTTGTATCGCACAAATGGACCTCTTCTAGATGAACGACACGAGATGCGTGTAAATAAACTACTGAAAAACTGAAATAAACTTTTCACAAAGCCGAATGATGTCCTGGATTTTCATTTTAACGTAGCGTAGAGCGTAGTGAAGTAATACTACAGTAGGGGGGGCACATATAAACAGGAGGAGCCGCTGTGTTAAAAGCACACGATGCAGAAAGGAGTCGGAATCAGAAAGTTCACTAAAATGAACTTTCATGTTAGTTCTTCAACTTCACGTTTTTCTCACCAGTTCAACCGACGTTTTACGGAGCGGACACCGAAATGTTGGTGCTAGTTTATACTCTACATACCTCACTACGGCACACATAAATCTCTCCAAATCCCGAGCCCGATGAGAACCACAAAATCACATTCCCAACTCACATGGACAGCAGCGGAGTCGGCTCACTGCGATGACGTTGTTATACGGAACGGAACTCGTCCCCTTTTGCCTTCGGGGCGAGACCGACGCCGATTGATGACGACTTCCGTGCGGAAAGAAGGAGGGCGCCGTCAAGGCGCTGTTCTGTCTTTTTTTTAGAACTGTTTTATTAAACGTGTCAAGAATTTACAAATACAAATACAAACAGGGGATCAGAAACGGGTACAAGAGAAAAAACACAAACAGAAAAAAATAATTAACCGCCAGAGGTAATGAAATAAATTATGTGATCAAATTGTATTTAAAAAAAAAAATCAAATGTTTTCCTCACGTTAGCATTTTTCATTAAAAAAAAAGTTTCAACCCCACCCTAAAAAGTACTAAAAGGGGAGTATTATTAGGCCACTTTGATTTATGAATGTGAAATTTACCCAGAATGACTTAATACATTTACTATAAATAAATGCCCCTGTTTCCAAATTTTCTATGAAACGGTACAATAAAATATCAAAATCCTCAAATCTAAAAAGCACCTTAAACTGCCTGCAAACAAAACTCTGAAAGTCCTTCCAAAACACCCTCACAGACATGCACCCAGCACATAAATGCAGCGAGGGCTCCCTTTCAGCCCGACAAAAAGACACACAGATCTTCCTGCTCCCGCTCACACCCAGAGAGCGCCGCATGCGCTGTTCTGTCCCGCCGAGCGGGCGCTCCGACTTGACAGGGTCGAGGTGGGCTTTCGCCCAGGGGCGTTTCCTGACGGCGCACACGCGGGGAGGGGGACCCCAGCACCTGCACCTGGGTGCTGGAGCCCGGTTTCACAGGAGCTGTCCCACAGAAACGGGGTGCTCAAAGCACGGACCGTATTGTGGGAGACGACCAGTCCAAACTGGCCACGTCCAGACAGGGGGAGCTGGAGGAGGCCGTGGAGACAAGTCTGAAGAGTTTGTGGAGCACAAACTACCCACCCGTCGCCGGCATGTCGGTCCTCTCTTCCCTGAGTTCCCTGACACCTTTCGCCAGTAAACGTGTTTGTCTTCCCGTGTTTGCAAGCCCTTGCTTAATGAGCGTGTCTTGTAACCGGGTGGATACAAATGGTCATTTCCAAAAATCTATCGTCGGATAAAAGAAACAAGTCCTTTTCTCTCGGCTCTGTTCATTTCTCCTTCCCACTAAGTACAGTGCTCAGTTACTTTGTAGCTCCCTCCGCCTCCAATAAGACCGCTGTACACTTCGTGACGGTAAATGATTTTCTGCGTCATTCTAACAAAAGTTGTAATATCTTGCAGACAGAGCAGTGACATTTTTTCCCCGTTGTATTTGTGTGTGTGTGATAAATACTGTTTGTATAAAAATGGGGAAAGAGGAGCGCTGTTCTACTGTTACGCGGGGTTAGACTTCCGAGGCGGCGCTGTTTCTCGCGGGCTGCGGGCTGTGTTTCTCACCTGGGATTTCAGCGGAGGATTTCCAGCTCCTCTTTCAGTCACACAATAAAATGCGGCAACCCCTTCAACGCAGACATAAAAAAGCGGACGTATTTGGTCAGTTCTTCTCAAGGGTGGATAGAGTGTCGCAAAAGTAAAAA